ACATATCTTAATTTCTCTTTTCTAGCCAGTTTTTTAAGTTTCTTTAAGAATTCTTTTCGGACTCGGGTTCCTAGTTGGTGAATTCGTCCGGTTTTGTTAAGTGTTCTTTTATCGAGTTTTTGAGGTTGGTTTTGTTTTTCGATTATTTGAACACAGTTAAAGCAGAAAGTAGGTATGTTTTGTTTTAACTCTTCTCAATCAGTAGCTACTGAGTAGGCAGTTTCTCCTCCGAATTCTCTTTCACACCTATTACAGTCAAAGTTTACTCGGGGGAAACGGTTGAATGGTTTCATATAATTTAATTTATAAACGCCAAAATAAATATAGAAGCTATATTAGGTTTTTAATTAGATAATTGTCTATGAGGATTTTAAGGGAGGTTTTTGATAAAAAAACCTAATCTATTCTGTGGCAATTTCTAACTCAAAGTCAATCTGAACTGTTGTCTTCAAACCAAAAAATTACTCTATATTTTTTTCCTTGAAGGGAAGTTTGTCATTTATAAGGTTTCTTTTTTCCCTTATACTCAATAGGTTTTAAAATTTGCCCGTTCATTTTCTCTAATAATCTTAAAATCAATTCCTTGGTAATCATTTCCCGACCCTTTTTCCTTCAAGGGTAGTCAGTAATAGTCGCCTTTAATATTTTTTGGAGATTAAAAATAATCTTCAACTCGTAAGTTCACTGTCATTCTTGAAATTTGTCTGAAAATTCTTCCTTAATTAGTTTAAACTCGGGCATGAATAGCAGGTTCTTTTTGTTCTACACTAACATTTACTTCTGCCGGAGAAAGCAACTGACTAGCATAAGTTAACAACCTATCCAAAGTAAACTTTTCAATACAACAAAAAAGAATATCTTCCGTTTCTGCTATGCTTAAATTGATTCTGGCAGCTATTTCTTTATCGGTTAAATTATTTCCTATCTGGTAAGCCAGTATTTTCTTACAGAGTTTATATTTAGCTACTTGTAAAGAAGTGGGGTTTTCCGGAAGGTCATAATTTATCCCTTCATGGTTATTAGGGTCTTCAATTCTCTCTAAAAACTTTTCAAATTCCCTTTGTTCTTGGGTTTTTAAGTTTGCTCGGTTATGATTGTCATTCATGGTTTACTTATTGTAATTTTTTAGCATACATTCCCTTCCCAAAGATTATATACACCATCCTCTTAACTCTCGCATTCTCCCAAACTTAACATGGTGTATAATCATTTTCTGTAACAAACATTTTCGTTCCCTTCCATCTTCCATGATATCTACTCTTATATTAAAAATTAGTGTAGGAAAATTATCATAGGAAGCCTTCCATGCTGACCTTTCGGTATGGTCAGAACCCCTAGCGGCTGTTTTTCATTGCCGCCATGGTAAACTTTTTTGCTTACCATGCTCTCCGTAGCCGGTTTCCCGGAACGGCATCCAACTT